AGACGTTCCACGTGATAGTGGACGTCACCGTTCTCATCGGGAAGAGTCGGTGGCGGGCGGTGCGACCGGGTCGACCGCCGCCCGGTAACTCATGATGCTCTTCGAGCCCTTGAGAAGAAGGTCCTTCGTAATCGGAGCTCCGCTGAGCGTTATGCTGAAGTAGCAATCGCTGTGCGGACGCTCTTGACGATTCAAAGCACGTCGTGCGCCGGTTGCCTCGCAGCTCTCTGTCGATGCGACCGCTAGCCGTGGAGCAGGCGAATGCTTGCTGCAGGCAACGGTGGAGCGCTTGGCACCATTGGAAATGGAGGTTGTTGCACTCAGTGCTCAGAACCAGTTGCTGGCTTAGTTTCTGAGTGGCCGCGGGCCCGTGGATCCGCTGTGGCGCCAACGCTTCCGCGTTCACTCGTGCCGGGACCCGGTAAGGCTTGAGCAAGCCCACGTTAAAATCACCGGGTGGGTGCGCATCCGTTTAGGTTTCGCGTGTACGCCAGGCCTCGTTTGGCCACAAACTTAAACGGCCCGATAAACTGTGGGCGAAGCTTCGTCCGGAAGATAGCAGAGGCTGCATGTGTAGACAGTATTTTGAATTCAGAAAAACCGAATCCCCATCCTTAACGCTCACCACTTTGCCTCTTTCTTTTCAGCTGCATATTGTTTCTGCGGATATAGCTTTCAGCCATCGCACCGCGAACGTGTCGTAGGCTACTCAGTCTGGTAGACAAGAAGTCATCGACATCTTTACGGATTGTGAGAAGGTTGACATCGGCTAGCCGTTTGGCTATTCCTCCCCCACCAAGCCCTGAGCCATGGGATTGCGGCGTCAGTGAGACGCGAGGGTGAATCAGCCCGTTCATGTAGAACGGCGTGTAGCCAGTAGACGCATGCACTGCATTGTTAAGTGCAAACTCTACGAGTGGCAACATGGCGCTCCCGCGCCTTGGCGTCTCAGCGAAGACGCTGCGAAACTCACCCTTTCGGTTTGACCATCGGCTTGCGGATGATTCACTGTCGACATATTTAACTTGACGCAACACACCCTTTCGGTTTGACCATCGGTCTGCGGATGATCCGCAGTCGACATATCTAGCTTGGTGCCGAGCACCATAAAGATAGTCGACCAAAATTTTCCCGTGAAACGGGGGTCTATATCAGAGACAATCGACTCTGCAAGTCCGTGCTGTCAATAAACACTACAACCAGTGTTGCTGTACCGACTCCGTCGATGGTGTCTGGCACCGCCGCCAAATGAGCCATCATGCTCAACAGGTAGACGAATACAACGACACCCGTGTTGCCCGCCAAATCTTTCGGCACAATAGTAATCTCGGTCGTGAGAAAACGTACAACTCTATGAGTCACCACTATTGGTGGCCCGAATTGTACAAATGGACGAGCACCTATGTGCGCACGTGTGAGACGTGTCACCGGGTGAAACCCTCTCCAAATGCGGTTGCGCCGCTGGCCAGCTCACCAGTACCCACTGGGTGCTGGCGGTCCATGAGTTTGGTTTTTGAGTTTGGTCAACACGCGTGGAAGATCTCTTAATATCTCCTCATAGAGTTAATCCAAACAATGGATCAATAAGATAGCATCTTTGACGTTTACTGCCCCGCTCCTCGCATCAGTGTCCTGAACATCTATGACAAATTCTGACCTATACTCTCTTTTGATGACTTTGGTCATTGCTAATAGCGAAGGAGGGCTGGGGGCTGACAAGACGGCAGAGAAGTACGGCGGAGTGGGACGTGCAACATGCAAAGCCTTGTAATGTTGGAAAAGAGAACTATGGCGAATGGTCCATGAGAAAGTAATAATACAATAGGGAATGCAAGGAAGCGTACCGGAAGAGCGCCATTGCGGTCTCCAATGAATTTATGGGCTTTTGACGGGGTCAAAGACAGTCCCCTGCATGCACCAATACTGGAACTGCCAGACCCTGTTCGTCATTTCAGCGTCGTCTGTGACGCTTCGAACTTTGCCAGTGGTTGTGCACTGCTGCAAGCAGACGCCGAGGGGCCAGATCGGGTGATCGAGTTCGAATCTCGACAGCTCAAAGCTGCGGAGAAGAATTACCCAGTTCATGACAAGGAATTTCTCGCGATGAAGTATGCACTTGTCAAGTTCAGGGTCCACCTGCTCGACTCCAAACCATTTGTGATCTACACAGATCATGTGTCATTACGCACTGCGACTCAGTCGCCTCACCTCTCGCAGAGAATGGCTAGATGGCTATCCTTCTTTGCGGAATATAACTTCAAAGTGAAGTATAAGCCGGGAAAGCAGAATGCTTTGGCTGATGCGTTGTCACGCAGATCAGACTATGAGCTTGCTCATGTTACAACTGTAACGTCGTCTGTGACGGATTTGTCCCGCACCGCGTATGCGAGTGATAAGATGTGTGTAGCGTTGCTACGGGCTTTAAGAAGCAAGGAGTTTAAAAAACTCGGACAAGAAATTGTCACCAAGACTGCGTGCACGATTGCACCGATATTCGTTGAATAACGGCTTGCTATATTATAGCACCGATTCAACGGATGCACCATGAATTTTGGTTCCTCATGATGAGGATTTAAAATA